CCACTCTGTGCCACGAGTGGCTCTAGTTTATGTTTGAATTTGAAGATAATTTGATGAACTGTTTTTCAGGTTTTGTCTCAACTTATAAATATTTTAATTATTTGAAAATTTATTATAAAGCCACTGCAGACTTGTTATCATTTCTGACAGCTTGTAATGGGCGTATGTTCTCTTGCCTGGCAAGCTATCTTTTTATTGATCATTAAATTAGATTAAAACAACATCAATTTGTATTTGTGAGATAATGATAAAATTATTTCTTTCCAGGAATGAATCGATTGGCAAAAGCAGTGTTACTAATAAATCATAAAAACCTCCACAAAGTCCACAAAATTTTCTATAAATAACAGCTTGTGTGGGGACAAAGTATCAGTAAATAAATTACATTTTGTGATGATGTTGAGAGCTGAAAGAACTCGAGCTTCTGATTAATAGACGTTGCTGATGAAATATCGTGTTTGTTAGTGAAGAATCGTTAAAATCAATATAGGCTTATTGGAACCATGCCAATACCCACTACGGGGTCCACTGGTAATTTTTTTAAGATTAAGGAACCCTTAACGCTTATTCTGAACCAAGACATATTTTGATGAAATATATTCGATTATTCGTACATCAGAATCGCTCATTACCATTCCATTGTTCTGGTGGAATTTTAAATCTCATAAAATCCATTTTAGTTTCAATCTCCGGGGATATTATACATAGAAACCCGCATATATAATATTCTGGACTTCTTCATTAACATTTACTCCAGAATCCCTTACAGAATATATAGTCTAGCTCAATGGTCGTCGACTGCATTGACCACGTCTGTAGATACGAGTTGCGCCCCTTTGCAAGACAATTTTTGGAATTAGAAACAAGAGAGGTTACGTTCTTTAACTCCAGTGGAAACTATCAGGTGCAAGTTGTGTTCGAGCTGTTTGTTTTGTCTTATATTCGTATTGTTTATTGGCTTTCGTAACATGAGACTTAATCCGTTGTCTACGTCATCACTTATACCATCCAAGGGCAAAACTTATTAAGTCCCATTTCGGTCAGGCTTGAGTTTATTCAGTTTTGACTTAAGAGATACCGCCGCATATATTTTACTAATTCTAAATCTGTTTGGCTGGATTTTAGAACCCTGGAAACGAAGTTTTACATTCTAGCAAGATAGATTCGGAGAATTCAGTCATTTATCATGGCACTATCTAGTGTGGCGGAGAGCAAATCGATTTGAATAAGGGAAAACTTACATTCGCCGCTTCGTAACATATCGGTATGAGTGCTAAAAAGAATTGAAAGGAGCCGAACTTTCCCAGTCTTACAAATAGTTAGTCTAACTCACTGGTTAATGAACTTCTAAAGGCACGAGCTGCTCCCCTTATTTCATTATTAAGAACCATGTGGGCTGATAAAGACAGACAACGCCATGCATGGTGCAATGAGGGAAATTTGGTCAGAACAGCGGCATTAGCCCGCTCTTTTTCGATTTCCAACTGTCTCACCCTGTAGCCTGTAGCCGGTTTATTGCCCCATCCGAACGAATAGAGGATTCTTTCATGTTTTACCTGCATCACTGAGAGAGGAATACCAAGGTATCGATATATGCTGGGATTGAACCCTGGACCTTGTTAGCGAGCAAGCGTCTATCTCACGGAGCTACCGAAGATATAAAAACTTGGATAATGTTATCAATTACAATGTTTATGATTAGATAGCTGATGCAGAGAAACGGTGCAGAGTACAGAATGAAATATTTGAAACAAAACCCTTGTGTGAAATTGATGTAAAAGGAACTTATTTATAATATGATAACTAAAGGAACATGAACAAATTACTAATCTGAAGATCCGTAAGCAAATATTTTAATTTTTTAATATTCACATTAAAGTTCGATAAGATTTCGTAAAACCATTCATCACCATCTTATTTAGAACATGTATGCTCAATTTTCAGTTTAGATCGTACCATGATTGTTTGATAAATATTAACCCAATTCAGCTTTTTCCTTTGAAATCAAGTTTTTATCTCGGTTCAACAAGTTAGTTTTTTTTTTGTTTAACAAGCCCGACAGCACCTGTCCTAGGTTGTCCTCCCTTCTGGAGAATCTTACCCGTCATTGGTTAACTGTCGCGTTACTTGATGACGTTGTATATCAAATACGCAATTGTTGACTATATAGGTCAACATAGAATTCGTTAGTAATTCATCACAGAAACAGAAATTTGAAGATAGATTCCGTTGTCCGACATTTTGAACTAAAAATAATGAATCTGTAGCGATTTGGAGATGATATATAGAGGGAGAGACTACATATCACACAAGGAAGTAATGCGCATTTGTTGACTATATAGGTCAACATAGAATACACTAGTAATTCATTTCAAAACACAAATTTGAAGATAGATTCCTTTTGTCCGATATTTTGAACTGTTAAAAATACTGAATCTGTAGTGATTTGGAGATGATATATATAGAGAGAGACTACATATCACACAAGGAAGTAAATACGTAATTGATGACTATATAGGTCAACATAGAAATTCGCTGGTAATTCATCTCAGAAACACAAATTTGAAGATAGATTCCTTTGTCCGACACCTTGAACTGTTAAAATAACTCAATCAGATTCCTATTATCCCTTCATTAGATGGAATAATTAATGAAAAATACAGAGCATATTAAAACGCCCTTTATACATATCAAAATGGCTTCCTTGTTTTCTTTATCATCCAGGTTGTAGACGGTTTTTATTAGTCTCTTTTTTTTTCTCGAAACTTTTACAATAATCCGAAAACAACCTATCCAAATTTTTATCTTTAAAAATGGCAGAAAAAAATTATAGATTAGATCCGATCTTTCAATTATATGATCAAATTCGTTATTCGTTTAATAAGAAAAAAGAGGATTACATTATCATATCACCAACCGTAGGCTCTTGATCCCAACTAAATGATGGGGGTCACTCAAAGACGGACCTCCCAATCAGAATCAACCCCCACAAACTAACACAACGTTAGAAAACAATTTCTTCCCATCTTTATTTACTGAAATGGTTTTGGAAGCTGGTTCAAATCCCATAGGAACCATTAAACACCCCAGAGAATTTGACACAATGTTGAAAACAGTTCTATATACCCTAAAACTACGATTCTGTTTCCGGATGGATACCGATGTTGGTGATGGAAGTGTGCAATGAAATGTGAAATGGTGCAAATGAAGATAGAATGCGAGCTATTGCTCGAAACACAATAGAAAGAGTAGGACGAGCAGGTAATCACGGATTTAAAAACGAGTAAATCAGTATTACAATTCCATTGAAAATAATAGTTGGGGTAATTACATAAATTGCAAATTATATCCTTTATTCGGTCTGTTGGAACATAGATTTACCATATAAAATTCATCTACAAAGAGAAATCAACGATGATAAGATATTATTTGGAGAGAATGCTTCAAATGCAAAATTAGAAATAACGAATCTCCAACTTTTCATACCCGTAATAACACCATCAATTGAAGTAGAAACGAGAATATTCAACTCATTAGATAAAGATATTGAAATAGCTTTTCTTCATCGTAATACGGTAGGTAGCATGACTTTAACTGGAGAATCCACCACGTGGCCAATCACTAGCACTATTAAACCAGCAAGATATTTAATGGTTGGTTTCAAGAACTTACCAGACTCTCAGACGAATAACAATAATTTCTTCAGAGTGGCAAATGAACCAAACTCAAGATCCTATAATCCATAAAGTTCGAGTAAGATTAAACAACGATAATCATCCTAACCAACCTTTAACAATAGGATTATAATGAATTGTATAGAAACTATGAAAACATGTGTGAATTATTTGGTAATCCACCTCAGTTTGAATATGCAGCAAAGATGGGATGCTGCAGACACTAACAAGCTTCATGCCATTAAGCCTCTCCTAGGAGACTGGCCCTCCTCCTATTGTGCTAACAGGAGAAATGAAGTTGTTTTGTGTCGCTCTCGTCTTGGACATACTCACCTCACCAACTGTTATCTGCTCAAGCGAGAGCCTCAACCAGTCCGTGAGCACTGCCAGGTCCGCCTGACAGTGAAACACATTCTGATTGAGTGCAAGCATCTCAAACCTTTGAGATCCCAGCACTACCGTGCTGGATCTTTACATCAACTATTTGCGCAACCTTCTCTTTATGAGAAGGTTGTGGCTTTTTTAAAAAAAGCCGGTCTTTATTTTAAATTTTAAATAGATTAGTCATTGTTTTACATATTTTGTTTGTTTTTAATACCACCATGTGGTGTATTACCTGTGATATTGTTTTTAGTGTTTTTTTTGTAGTCATTAAATGACTGTTTCTGTGATATGGTTTTTATCGTCTTTTTATGTTATCACTATGTGACCTTTCTGTGATATTGATAGGTGTTTCATTGTTTTAGTTTTTTCATTATTTTAACGTATTCTGGAGCTATATAGCCCGTTTGGTGCTGATGCTCCTTAATGCATTTCATTTCATTTCAGTTTGAATATGTAGATTTTGCACTTAACCATCCAATCTTCTGTTTTGATCTATCAGCTCACCAAGAAGATCTTTTCAAAACAGGAGTCAACATAAATAATCATATTGAAAAACACAAGGAGATGTGACCGGGTAATGTTTACAACTCGAAGAAGCAAAACTTTTAATTCAAATAGCAGGTAGAAAAATGATAAGAATTGAGTGAAAAATACACCCTTAAAAATGAAACCAGAAACTTTAGTTATGAAAATAATAGAAGCTATTGAAACAGCTTCCCCAACTGTAACAATTTTCAATGGTAAAAAAATCAGTATAACTAAAAAACTTATTGATAAATATAAATATTGTAAAGTCAGAGACGATATAGATTTAGAAAGAATTGACGCGAACACAAAAGAAGGTGGATTTTTACCTCTCCTACCTTTGATATTTGGTGGTATTGCAGCGGCTGTTGGAATAACAAAAACCGTCCTCTCAAAGAACGCAGACACAATTTAGAAATGGAAAAGGAAGCAAAGAAATTAGCACTTGCAAAAAAAGGTTCAGGAGTGGCAGATATATTAGGTACAGTTAAAGAATTTGGAAAACGATTTGGGGAAGAAACCAAGAAAACTGTTAAACAAGGATTAAATAAATTAGTAGATAGTATTGACACAGGAGAAGTCAAAGTCAAACATAAGGGTAATGGAATATTTTTAAAAAACATACGCACTGGAGAAGGAATATATCTTTCAAAGTATAAAGGAGAAGGAGTTATTTTTGGAACAAATTAAAATAATAAAAAATGGGCAAAAACTTTAATCATTCAGAAATATTTCCTAATAACCCAATGCTCATGTGTATATCCAAACCGATTGAATATCGTGGTTCTGTTATAATTAGGACCTTAGATGATATAAAACGTTATTTTTCAAACCCTAGCCCAGATTTATCAAAGAGCATTTCACCAATCGTTGATAATCAAGGTTTATTGTTTAGTGGATTTAGAATAATATTTAGTCCAACATGATGATGAATATGAAGTTGACGAAGTGGGTGATTATGCTGAAGACAACAATCCAATCATACAAGAAATAGACGAATTCGAACATATGGTATCTGGTCAAGGTATAACGTTTTTATCCGACAACAACGAGGAACTACTGAATAGATTACGAGTAATATTAGCGGCAATGAAGGAAGGTCATCAACCACACAGACAATTTAATGAAGTGAACTGTATACTAAAAAGACTCATACAGAAAGGTATTATAGATAAAAATGATTAAAAATGTCAAATAAAGAACAACTATTCGTCATCACCTCAAATAAATCAGACATTAAATTGTCTCTAGATTATGAGTACGAACTCGATCGCAATCAAGAATGTGAATGGGGATTAAAGTATTTCTCTGTATTTCAATTATAGAGAAACCATTTCAAATGACATATTTACCACTTTATTCCTTTATGATTAAAGATATAAATCTGGAAATCAAAGATGGTAAAAATAGGTTTATAGATTTTGGTAACTTCATTCAACTTCATTTAAAACAAAAAAATTAAATTAAACACTCTTCATTCTCTTCTTGAATAGTAAGGTAATCGAAATCATCAAATTCGTAGTTTTCATCCAAACTCATCATCTTTATCACTATAAGGATACATGATTTCTTCGCTGCCCGGTGCCTTTCTCTTAACGAGATTCAGATAACTTCTGAAAACTTGCATTTGTTTATCATCATCCTTTAGAATAACTACTCCATTGGTGAAACTTTTTTCCCATGGTTTCTTAAATTCATTCGTCACATCATGTCCACTAGCTAATCGAATATAATCTTCTACAGCTATCTTATCATTAGAGTAACCCTTAAACGTTTTCTTTTCTTTTAGAATACCATCGGAAGTTACAATGATATTGTATTTAACTTTTGGCGCTAAATATAAACCATATATAATTCCACCATCACCGTAATCATTCTTTCCTTTACAATAATCATTTTCGGACACCAACCCAGTTTCATTTAATTTATCCCAATTGCTAGAAGAAATGTATAAACTATCAGTATCTGTATAGCATATTTCCGGCTTATAAAATCCATCTATAACGTGAATAAAATTATTCATTATTTTTTTACTGTGAGATAATACGAATGACCCCAATTGACTAGGTGTTAGTCGTGTAGATTTAGGAGGTGTACAGTCAAATTCTTTTTCTTCTTCATTTATCTCAACGATATATTGAGTCTCATTTACTTTAGGATAGCTTTTGACGTGTGAATCGAAGTTGGCTTTTAAAGTCGCTTCACTCCATAGATGTCTCGATGTAGTTATATCCTTCTGAATAGATTTACCATACAATGAATTACCTAATAATTTCATGCAATTACTACCTACGATATTACCTTCTCGTTTATATTTATTTCTTAGATCTATCAAAATTAAAATATAATCTCTATATTCTTCGTATACTATACCATCTAACATTCTAATAATTCGTCCACCGGCTTTAACTATTTCTTGAATATCAACCGATGTTAAAACTTCTGAACAGAAACCATTTCTGAACCTGATTTTAGTGCCAGTTTCCTTCTTTGTTCGTAAAAGTAATTTTATCTTTAGCTGGTATGGGTTGAAAGAACATGTTAGTAGGTTATTCAAACCAGACTTTTAAAATAGCCGTTCTAGGTCTGAACTTCTGCTTAAAGAGCTTAACAAATTCTTTATTTTCTTCCGGTAGAAACGGTTTAGCACTTTCCGCTTTAGGATATTCGCTGTATAAATCCGATATGGCGGAAGCGTACAAACCGTTAGCATCCAAGGCCATTAGTTTAGTACATTTTATTTTTTTAAGTTTTGAATTAACTTCCGTTTTATCTTTTTTACTTTTACTATATTCTTTAAATTTCAATTATATTATCACTTTCACTAAACTCCTTTAATACATTACAAATTTCATCCATTTTGTTCGTTTCAAATGATTTTCGATTTGCCGAAACTCTTCCACCTTTAATGGATTGTCTGATAGAATATCTTATAAAAGGGTGTGTATGTGAGTAAACTTGTTCTACGTTTTCTTTTTCGGTGTGTTTTGGAACCATTCTAGTAGTTTCATACCATTCTTCTCCAACCATTTCTTTATGGTAATGATATAAATAATACCAACCCTTTAAAGATAAAAAAGGAGCCGTTAGATTATTGGAAATATTCTTTGTTATATTTTATCAAACAAGCTCCAAAACATAACGTATCTCTTTTAGCGTAAGGTTTCCAATTATCTGCGGTGTATTTTGCAATATTGACATCAGTGATCTTTCTCAAATTCATTGGTAGATTAGATGAATTTCCCCATGCTGCCAAACTAGATTTTTCATGTTGATAGGAACATATGAAATTAATATTTTGCAAATAATTAGAGTTGCCCATTATTTGTTTTTGTCTTTTTCATTTTTTTCTGTATATATTCATCTGTGAATGAATTAGTTAAAGGTAGAGACAGAATGCCTCTAGCTGTTATTAGTGGACATTGCGTTAGTTTTTGTCGCATTTTTAAGCACGATCCAGTTATCAAAACCGCTACCGTTATCAGAAATTAATGTTAATCTTTTTTGATCTATTTTTCCTAAACGTTGCAACATTTGATCGATGCAATCTTTACCCACAAATATTTCTACTATATTCATTAATTTATTATAAAATTCTTTTGGAACACTATCAGTGGGATTTAAATGTGGAAAGTTATGTTTTATTCTGTCTAACAGTTTTCTTAATTTCTCTAAATTAATTAACGTGCAAGAATAAGGAATGGCTTTATTCGTTTCTTTTTCGCTATAGCTTTCGCAATCCCATGCGTATAAACAATCATTGTGCATTGTTGGAAAAACATTTAGTTTTAGAGGTGAAACTTGTGTTACCGCATTATCATCTCTACAAGTTCTCCATTCGTTTTCATCGTAATTATCTTCTATTTCTGTAATGCCTAAGGTTTTGTTATTTCTTCTTATGAGACAGAAATGTGATTTATGTAAGTAAAATACCCAATCTAATTCCTTGGATACTTTCTTTCGTTGAAAATGTCTATGCTTGGGCATATAAATTTGAAAATAAGTATTAAATTTCTTATTGAATTCACAGATTCGAGCAGTTGTCATAACTCCTTTTCTGTTTGATTTTGAAAACCTGTTGATGAAATCTTGAAATTCTTTTGTGTAGTCTTTGTTCAAAAGACGATTTACGCACTTTACAAGTATCCATCGCTTGGTATATAACAATTTAATCCGCTATATTCATTTATATTTTTGAGTAGGGAAACACCACTACCCTTTTTTTATCTTTTTATTTCTTTGAAATTGTTTCTACGTAAAACGATTTTTCCTGAGAAATACCAATCAGAAGCATCCGATTTTACATCCACAGTTGCGAAGATATTGTGAAAAGTTTCGGCATTAAAGCCTACAAATTGCATGTTTTGTTTGTGTCCTCCATCTTGAATTATCTCCCCATCTAATTCAATTTGCCCTTTAAATGTTATAAATTTATCAGAGATAATCTTAATAACACTGGAAAAAAGTTCATTTGATATGAATGTTCCATCGTCTAAAATTTCAATTTTATTCATATTTTTTAAGCAACTATTTTTAACTAGGAATTTTTAACTTTTATTGATGATATTTCTACATCAAATTTATCTAAAATTTCATTAAATTCTTCTAATTCTTGAATGGTTATGTTCTTATCTTCTCTCGATCTTTCGAAAAATATGAATAATTTATTAAGATATGTATTTAAAATTTCTGTTTTCTTTTTATAATGTGATTTCTGTTTTGATGTAAAACCCAAGTAATCAATCCACAAGGGGAAGTTTGGACGGCAGTGAACGCGGCTAATACAGTTGGGACAATTATTGGAAGCATTAATCCACCGATTACGGCTGTTGCCACCGTTATCCCTACTGTTAGAACTGTGCTTAATGTTTTGAAAACAGTATCAATTCTACCCATGTTTTTCTATCATCAATAACAACTTTTACAGTAACAAACGATATTTGTTCTTTCGAATCATTAATCTTATTGAGACGAACTGAAAATTTTGGTTTTTCAATAGAGATTGATATATTAACATATACATCATTATCTCTTATTGCTAGTATTAAAAGTTTTTGTTTTAAATCACCTTGAAGAGTGTCTGCGATTTGATCCACGAAGAAAGGCTTTGCTTTATTTATCCACGCTGTAGTGTTAGGTTTTTTAGTTTCTAAAGATAAAGAACCCAATCCAAACTTGTTCGCCATTTTTATTGAGTTAAATTTATTATAATTTCTTCAAACTGTTTTCCTAAACTCAACTGATATAAAACTCAAAGTGAAAGCTGTCCACAAAACTTTTGTCCCGGTAATTGAATTTGAAAAGTAGAACATTTGATTGGTTTATTAGTCAATTGCATTATCTCTTCAGTTGGTTCTAATCCAAAATAATCGAAGAAATATAAGTTATTTGAAGTTCGTTTTGATAAAACCTACCTATGATTTGTTCTTTGTCTTGATCGATTAATTCATATGTTGGAGGTGATGTGGTGTTTACTTTATCAACGATGAATATTTCGTTTGTCCAGTATCCAACGTAACCTTTTTCGAATTTACTTTTATATTTGAAAATACGAACTCGATCTCCGATTTTAAATTTGGGTTTGATATTTAAATTATTTATTTCATTTTCGTAGTTATGTTGTGCGTTAATTGACTTTATAATATTTCGATTGTTGGTGGCTTGTGTTGGTGTGACACCTATATATGAATGAATTTTGTTATTGTATTCATCTACAACCTCTGGTAATATTTAAAGCCATTTTATGAGATTTCAATTCAGTGAACTTTTTTAATAAGTTATTTTTTAGAGTCAAATTAAATATCTCAATAACTACAGCTGTACCTTCATTATGCGTGCTGTAAATTTCAAACTCCAGAGATTTCATATTTTTGTTATAAAATTCACTTCCTTTATCTACCCACAGTTTTTCTGGATGTCGGCCAGATTGTTTCATAATCGTTTCAAATGCGTGTTTGACTGATAATCCTGTTTTGTTTTTCAAAAACATAACCCAAGCATATCTCGTATACAAATCTATAACTGTTAAGCAATATTTATATCCTCTTTCGACTGGCATACTAATTAAATTGGCTGACCTTATTTCATCTTTTTCAAACACTTAGTTTTTAGGTTTTCGAAATTCTTCCGCTAATCCCATGCCCAATTTCACCTTTGCTTTTAACAGTTTAATGATCAGAGCCCTTTGCATTCTCTCTTTGAAAGTTGGATTTGGAATATTTTCAAGTTCGATTATCATTTGGTTTGTCTGCTTCGTGTCTAAACTTCATGTCTTTTCATGTTTAAGCGTAGCGGCGTCAACTCTATTGACTGGTTCTTCCCCTGGTTTGGGTTTATCGTTTTCGTCTAATCGCAGATCTAACCTAGTACCTGGACCAGTGTAATTATGATCGGGAATATGTTTTTCTCCGGGATATTTTGCCTATGGAAATCCAGGAAGAGAACCCAATGATTTTTGTATATCTCCTGAACCAAAATAAGTTTTTGGAAGGTGAACGACAATAATTTTTATCCTATAACTTTAAAACCTTTTCCTTTCCTTTCTTCTAATCTCCTGTTTCGCAGATCTCTTATTAGTTGTAATTCTTTCAACTCATCAGATTGTTTCACTGCGTCGCTTATACTCTTTCCCTCTTCCGCCCCGGATGAAATTTGTTGTTTGAAACAAAGCTAGCTACTTTTGGAATTATTGTTTAACCTAGAGAAAATATTGATGAAAAGATATTGTCGCCCGAATAATCTTCGAATCTGTGTTGTTCGTGTTTTAGAATTAAACTCATCCTATTTTTAAATGAGTTGATTTAACGAAGAGATTGTGGTCCGTTTTTTTTCCAAAACAAGAGTTATCTTCCTTCTAGAAGTTTCGAGACTAAAAATAACATTATTTAAAACGAGGCTATTAAAAAACCGGATGTTAAGCGAAAAAAGGAAGTTTTTTATTTAAGGGTATTTTTAATATGCTTTTTTTGTTTAATTTAGGGTGAATAGGTTCTTTTTTAGGTGAAGGTTGATGGAATGAAGGAATTGATTGAAGGTGTTTTTAGTGTAAGAATTTATGAAATGAAGGGTGTTTAGGTGTTTTTTAATGTAAGAACTTATGAAATGTAGGGTGTTTATTTTTTTTGGGGGGATCTTTCAATATGGTCGCACTTTCCCCATGGAATGAAATGGAATGGGGAATTTCCCCATGGAATGAAATGGAATGGGGAATCCCCAACCAAGGACAAATCATTATGGAAGCTACCTGCTCTGAAGAAATCTACCTTAATAATTGGATCATCTAACCTGAATCGAATTACCAAAACCAGTTCAGACACCGAAATACATTCTCACCCCGGTGCCCAAATCCATCACATACAGTCAATCCTGGAATCATACGACCATGATCCCAAACCTACTACCATTATTCTTCATGTAGGCCTCAACAACCGTGATCAGCTACCAAAGACCTCCTTTAACCAAGCCCAGAAATTAATCGCCACATCCAACAAAACCTTCCCAAACTCCAAGATCCTCTTCACATGTATACCCATTTCAAATAAAATCTCAAAGAAAGCACAACAGAACCTCAGCACTCTCAACAACATGATGATGGAGTCCAGTATCAACAGCGCAACAATCTTACCACCCTACGAAGAAGAATTCGAACCAGTTGATAATCTTCATTGGTCTCCAGAAACAGCAAACGGCATCTATTTATTTTGGATACACCAGCTTCAAGCGTCGAGTAAGTCTTTAAACTAATTACTGGGGATAAAAATACTGAGAGGCCACCGCTAGGCCAAACTGTAGGCAACTTGAGCCGCAAAATTCTCACACCCCTTCAGCATTCAATCTTAGACCGTGGACTTAAGTTTATTCCCACACCAAAGATAGCTAACTTGAATTATCTCCGACCATCCATTGAACGATTTCAACGAAATCTTAGCTGCACATATTTTTTCGAAACCACCCCCCACGTGGTGCTAGAAAAATGTTTATTCCTAATTCCACGTGGACACCCCCTCAGGCCGCCATCCATCCTGAAATATTGAAAGCATTTGCGAGTATGAATAGCCAAACAGTGAACCTTTCCATAACATACGAAAAGCCTAATCTCACACGAGTGGAACGTGAAGCGTTAAATTTACTTAAGAAAGACGATAGCATTGTTATTAAAAAGAGTGACAAAGGTTCATGTTGTGTCATTCTGAATAGGGAGGATTACGTTTCAGAAGCAGAGAATCAACTGAATTATCCAAAACATTATGCCATTTTACCGAAACCAATTTTCAAAGAAACTGCTAACATGATTAATAATATTCTTGCCGATTTAGTCAAAATTAGTTATCTCAAACAGAAACAATATGACTATCTGTCTGCCAAACCTGATTGTCGCGAGAGACATTTGTACACTTTGCCTAAAATCCATAAAAATCCAACCAAGGAGTGGTTGATCTCGAATAAAATCCGCCCGATTATATCTGACTGTGGTAGTGTCAGAATACATTGATCATTTCTTACTACCTCTAGCATGTCAACATCGCGCCAAAGTTAAAGACACAACCGATTTTAATTTCTATCGACGTTTCTTCTATGAATACCAATATCGATAACACTACTGGTTTAACGGCAGTTCGTAAAGCTTTTAATAGAAACCCAGATCCAAACAGACCCGACGATGCAATTTTAAAGCTTTTAGAGATCTGTCTTAGTCGAAACGATTTCACATTTAATGGTAAAACATATTTACAAACTTCAGGGACAGCTATGGGCTAACGATTCGCTCGTTCGTACGCAAACCTTTTCATGGCAGAGTGGGAACGTGAGGTGTTGCCCCTCTGTCCATTTGACCCACTTTTTTGCACCATCCTTCAAACTAACCGCAAACGTGAGTGACAAAATCATAGACTTTATCAATACCACTGTCTTTTCGATTGTTTTCTCAAAACTGAAAGAGCCTGGGTACTCTAAACGATTTGTACGAAACATAAAAAAAAATTCCACCTTAGCACAGATAACAGCTAAAAAAGGCTTTATGCCGAAGTACCTCCAGGTTTAATGAGTGC